CACAGCCTCTTTGTCTGCTTCCAGAAGGCATGAAAGAAAAAGAGTTCAAAGATTAGATATAATGGAGAAAGAAAGAATTTCCTTTTTCCATTCCCTTTCCCAGTATGTATTATCTCCAGGAAAAGTACTTCTGCTCCAGCCTTTTCTTAAAGCGCCATGAGGAAGAAAATAAATTACTTTTCGTCCTTTCTTAGAGATCTTGAAACTTATTCAAGACAAACCTCCTGTATCATTTGCCTGAGGTGAGGGGTAAAGGTTGAAAGAAGAGATCTGGCTACAAAACACAAAAAATATGATTTTTTTTTTTTCAGTTCCTTCAGATTTCCAAATGGCTGCTAAAAGCTCCTGAGCAAAATATTGGTATATAAAGTGCAAAATAATGCTCCAAGCCAGATACATGAATTGTGTAAAGCTCCAACATCATTAGTGTACCTTGTATCCTATGGAATCCTATTCCAATTTTGTTACACCTTCTGTAGATGCTATGCCATATCTCTGATCATCCTTGACAGTTTTCTTTATACTTTTACTAGTTGTGTGTTGTTGGGTTTTTTTTTTTTGGGGGGGTTTTGTGTTTTTTTTTTTAAATACAGTAATTAGAGTTATGCAGCATATGGTAAAACAGTGATTTACATAGGAACAGATTGTCTTCTATCTAAATAGCAATATAGCATTTTCACACAGTTATGGATGGTAACTCCAACATTCACCTCCTCACTGGTAATAGCCAATTTCAATCCAGTGAAAATGAGCAATTGGAACCATAATTCTCACCACTACCACATGCATTACTTTTCATTTATCACTATTGAATTTCTTTAGTAATTTTATTGCCATTAGTCAGTTTTGTAATATTATTCTGCAGTGTCTTAGTATCTTCACAATCTTGAAATTTTGCATCAAGCTCCTTCATTCATTCTCTTTTTCTGAGTAATTTCCAGCACTGATCACCACAGAACTCCACTGTTAGCTTTCCAACACTATGAAAGCTAACCATCTATTCCTCTCTTACACTTACTATGTTTAACTCTGTGACTAAAAGAATAAAATTCACATCCATGAACACGGTTTTTTTTGGTTTTTTTTTGTTTTTTAATAAAAAGACTAGAGGCTTTGACGAAAGCTGGACAACAGTTTTTTTCAAAATTTAAAATATACAAATTCAATCAACAGTATTCACTGTATGTATTTATTCCTTCAAAGAACTCCCACTGATTTGCAAGGTATGATTTTCATTTCCTAAAGGTACAATTATTCTGTTGCATCCTATTAATTCACATGTTCACTAAATCCATTCTTTAATAAAAGTGCCAATGTCCAGCACTTAAGTCATATTTACATTAGTATTACATTCCCAGAACAGACTTTATATATATTTTTTTTTTTTGTAAGCAGGAGGCAACCATGGGAGAAATTCGATTTTACACACAAAAGCATCAACTGGAATAAGAAGTCATAGCAGCTGCAGTCACCATTCTGAATTAATTAGTTTCCAAGTGACTATAAAGATATTTACAGTAGGTCTCCAATTTCTTTTTTTCTCCCCTCTCAACCTATCCAATTAGAAGAGTTAAGAATAAACCCCTTACTACTTTATTCAAGAATAATTTCTTTTTTAGATGTGAAGAACAAAAGACTTAAATTCTGTTGGGAAATTTCTTCAGAAGAAAGAGTCCGAAAAAGAACAGTTGATTAAGGATATTGAGACCGTTTAATATTGATCCACCATTCTAAGCAGATAAACTGTTTACTGGAGATATTCTTAGCTTCTCCAGAATAAATTAAGTACAAAGACCAGCTAGTATACACCAATACATTAATTAGAACTGTCTCAGAGATCTCATAAGGACCATCTTATTTGGCAACTATTAGTACACCTTTACCATGGATGGTAAAGAAAAGGTCTGCAGTGCTTACAGAAACATTCTTTTCTATCTCATGTTCAGATGAATTATGGAGAAGGTTAACAAAGAGGCCCAAGTTGGTGTATTAAAGTCAAGTACATGTTGAGATGATGAAAGAAGTCAACAACAACAACAAAAAAATCTGTTTGGATTATACATAAATATTTTCAAAATGAGCACAGAAACATGCTGACACTTCTGTCGCTATTTTGAATAATAATAACAATAAGTGTTTTTGGTCTGCTGTCACTACTCAATTCTCAAATAAATTAAGGCATGTGGGTTGAATTAATTTGTTTTTCATACTACTGCAAAGGTTGCCTCTTTATTAAAATAAACAATAAAAATACTTATGCAGAATTCAGAAAGGAGATAGAGTCTCATCTGCAAGCCATATTTTTTCAAAAAGTGAAAATAGCTTATTTTGCATCCTTACAAAAAAACAAGATAGTAAAATCCTTACGCAAGGCTCAAGAGAAAAAAAAGCTTCATCTGCAGGCCATATTTTTAAGATACTTGACAACCTTTACTTAGAACCTACTTTAGTATTTTCCTTAAGTTGTCTCAAGTCCAACAAAAAGCTGCCTTTGTGATGTTTTTCACTTTGTAACTAGGAATCTAGTGCATAAAAAAAGAGCACATGATAACTGCTTCTATTTAAGGATCTTGTCAACGGTGAAGTCTTGAAAATTAAGCTGGTGATGTTTTTACTGACTTTTATATTTAAGAAATGCAGCCCACCTTCTTTTATGCAATCCAAAGCAGTATTTGGTGTAAAAATAATCATTCATTCTGTTATCAAAATGAAATAAAACAGTAGGAATGGCTGTCAGTTGTTTTCTCATTCCAAATTAAAATTGTATAGTACAAGATTCCTCCCCACATTTTCCTCTCAGTTTCTCGTACAATTCTAAAAATTCTTCTATGATTGCTATCTCCAGCTTTCTCATGCTGAGATTGCTAAGCTTGCTTAGTTAAGATATTTTGACCCCCGCAAAAGAAGCAAACAGGAGATTGACTTAGGAAAGCAGTTCTATTATATATGGGGTTTCAGGAATGTAAATGGAAGCAATACATCTATGAAAATAATATGAAATGCCATGAAGATTAAGAATAGAACACAGTCTGTGCATATACCAAGTTGCCTTCTCACTATTATAAGAATCACGCCAGGAGAAGGTGGTACATAGGAATATTCAGGGAAAGTGGATATAATGAGGAGACACAGTGATGTACTCTCCTGAAAAGGTGATCCTCCCTCATTCTTATTAATCAAGAATATCAAAAGCCGAGCCTCCTACCTTATAAACACTGAGAAAGGCATCCCAACAGACATTCATTCAGCTTATCACATCTTATGCATACTTTTACTTCTCCTGAGCAATGAAGACCAAAACATTTGTGTTTTGATAAAAAAGTTGTCATCATTCATTTCTAAGGATAAGCACATGTACATACTGGTAGACAGACATAAGTGAAATTTCCATGTAGTAAATTCCACTTGGAAGCAACATCCTGCTCTTGACTGGAGACCAATTACATACACCAGCATTCGCTCCAGGAATAATTTATATTTCTCTGAAAGTGTAACAATGTCTTTGCTCATTATTTCAATGTTAAGGTAGCGTTTTTAATTTCAGAAAAAGAAGGAAACAAGTTTTTTCAAGAATTTATTTAGTATCAAAAGGCATACTTCTGAAACAAATATTTCTGAAACAAAATACTCACGAATTACTGAGGGATGATCTCCTACAGAGATGTCACAGAAGAGGAATTCCATGGAACTTAATTAGAAAGAAGTAAAAGGTATCAGTGGGCACATCCAGCCACCTGTCACAATAGGCTGGTAAGACGAACTGGAGAGAGAGCACACTGTAAAAGTGAAAAAGACAAAACCCTAACCTTGAAGTTATAGCAATCAACCCTTTCTCCCCTCTAATCCAATGCCTAAGATGCCTTAATATTCAGATGGAAAGGATGATAAAATGCTATGCTGCAACCAATTAAATGTAGAAATACATGATGCTTTCTTCCCCACCTCCAGTCTTGAGATGCTGATTATCATACAAGTATCTTTGCCATTTTTGCATGGAAAAATGTACTACAGACCACTTGTTTACATCTTTTCTGAAACAGGTCTATTTACTTGTAGTACCAGTTTAGTAACACAAACTAGCACAGAGCAGAATATCCATAAATTTATCAATTAAAGCAGTATTAAATTCCACTGTCCAGACAAGCAGAGGTATGGTACTGCCCCACACTGTATATTCTCAAGCACTTGATCTAGCTGCCTATATTCAACCCTGTTTATAATGCTCTTCCACACACTCTTTGGAAGGTAAATCTACAGTATAGCACAGTTATTCATGTATATCAAAACCTACTCATGCAACTCTACTGACTTATTCCCAAAGCTATTTTTTATAGAGAAAAATAACAACTGACTGCATGGCATAGTTTTCACTCCTAACTAAAGCTAAAATATTTTATTGTACATCTACAGTTTTACTAACTTAAATCCCTCCTAGTTATGTTGGTGTAAATATAGACTTCTGTAGGCTGGAAGAGACCTCCAGATCTAGTGCAAACTTCTGCCCAAAGCAGCTCTAGACAGAGGAGGCTGTTCAGGGCCACTGAGATTTGAGCATCTCCAAGGACTGAGAACCCACACCTTTTCTTTGCTACCTCTTTCAGCATTTTATCAACACAATGGCGAATACACACCCTCCTCCCCCACAGCAAGTCAGAGTTCTCTGGGACACATTTTACAACTATTGCCCACCATCCTTCCCCTGGACACCTCTGAAGAAAGAATGGCTCCATCTTCCTAGATCACCCTAGGTAGCTACAGACAGTAATAAGGTTTGCCCTTAGCCTTTTTTCATTAAGGATGAACAAACAGTTCTCTGACCTTGTGCATCATATGCTCCAGCCCCTAACCAGCTTGGTGGCCCTCTGCTGGACTTGCCCCAGCATGTCCATTTCTTTCCTGTATTGGGAAGCCGACAACTGGACACAGCATTCCAGCTGCAGTCCTGCCACAACCAAACAGAGGGGAAGGACCACTGCTCTGGACCTGCCAGCTACACTTACGTAGCCTACAATGCAGCTGAAGTTCCTTTCCACAGGGGCACTTTCTTCCCTTATGTTCAACTTCTTGTCCATCAGGACACCCAGGACTTTTTCCACAAAGATGATTTCCAGCCAACTGGTCCCCAGTCTGGACTGTTACATGGAACAATTCCATCCCAGATACAAAACTATGCATTTGCTTTTCTTCAACTACACGTAGTTCCTCTCAGTTCACTTTTCTACCCTGTACAAATCCCTCCGAATAGCAGCCCTGCCCTCAGGGATATCATCCATGTCCCGCAGTTTGGTATCATCCATAAACCTGCAGACAATGCACCCCATATCATCACTTAAGGCATTACTAACACACTAAACAGTACTGGCACTAGTACAGACCCCTAAGGGACACCACCTGTAACCATCAAACAGTTGGATGTTCTACCACTGATTATTACCCTTTGAACCCGACAGATTAACAGTTTTTCACCCACTCTTATTGCCCAGTTGTCCACTTCATCTCTTTTCACAGAATCACAGAACTGCAGAGTTTGGAAGGGAACCTTGGGAGTACTATTCCAGCTAGAGCTTGGATCTCCAGTCCAACACCCCTGCTCAAGTGAGGCAACTAGCAAACATTCCTTGGGACAATATCCTGACAGATTTTGAGCATTTCCAAGGATTTAGACTTCACAAACATTCTGGGCAACTTGTTCTAATGATTAATCACTCTTAGAGTGAAAAAGTTTTCTCTCAACTTTAAAAGGAGTTTCCTGTATTTCAGTTTGTGCCATTGTGTCTTGTCCAATCTGCACACAATACTAGGTCCATCAGGTATTTATACATCAATAAATAAGTGATAATAAATAAATTATAAGATCCCCCTGAGACTTCTCAAGGCTGAACAGTCCCAGCTCTCCCACCTGCTCCTTGATGCCCTAGTCCCACAGTCATCCTCACGGCCTTTGACTTCATGTGATCCAGGACATCCATGGCACTCTTGCACTGGGGAACCCAGAACTGGACCAAGCACTTCAGATGAGATGACTCTCACCAGGTCTGAGTAGAAGGAACACCTCCCTCCATCTACTGGCAACGGCTTTCCTCACCGCAGAAGGCTACCAGGTTAGTCAAATGGGATTTCCCCACTGTAAATCTATGCTGACTATGCCCAATCAGCTGCTTGAACTTTCTATGTTTGCAAACGGTTTTCAGTATTATCAGCTCTGCTCATCACCTGCAGTAGCCCTCATTTTCCATCTGGCCTTTCCTGAAGACAGGAGTGACATTTGCTTCTTCCCAGGGATCTCCACCCCACCCCCTCCAAGTCAGTCTCGCCAGGACCTCTCAAAAATGACTGAGAGTGGTAACAATGGCCAGCTTCCTCATCAACTATGGGTGCATTCCAACAGGTCCCACGGACTCGTCTATGTCCACTTTGTACAAATGTTCCCTAACCTGATCCTCCTCCACCAATGGTAAGTCTTCCTTGGTCTGGACTTTCCCACTGGTTTCAGGGATCCAGGGTTCCTTCAGGCTGCTCTTACCAGTAAAGCCTGCAATGAAGAATGATTGATTACCTCGGCCTTTTTCATGTCCTGTATCAGAAATCTCCTGTCCATTCATCAGTGGGCTCACATTTTCCCCTCATCTTCCTTGCTGATACTTGATACTCCTGCAAAAGCCCTTTGTGTTGCCCTTCATGTCCCTTGACATATTCAACTACAGGTATACCCTTGGATAGTGTCTCTATATCCCTCCCAGGCCCTCTGTTTCCACCTTCTATGCTTCCCTTTTACACTGGAGTTGGTCATGATCTCTTTGTTCATCCTGCAGGCCTTCTGCTGCCTCTGCTTGACTTCCTTTCTGTTGCAATGGTTCAGTCTTCAGGTTCGAGGTGGTAATACCTGAAAAACCAGCCTCTCCTGGACTCCCCTCCAGGACTGTGTCCCCATAGGATTCTTCCAAGCAACTGCCCAAGAAGGCCAAATTCTGCTCTCCTCAAGTCCAGGGTTGAGATCCTCGTTAGCTCTTTGTTCCCTTCTCTCAGGAGTCTGAATACCACCATCGCAGAGTCACTGTTAGTAATGCTGCCCCGACCTTTGTCTTGTTGATCCATTCTTCTTTCTTTCTTTCCATAACAGGTCCAGCAGAGCATCTTCTGTTATTAGCTTCTCAGTCACCTGGGTTAGAGGGTTATTATCAGCACCCTCCCAAAAATATCCTGGATTGCCTGACAGCTGTGGTTTATATTGCTGCAGCAGTTAGTGGGGCCCTTCAAGTCTCCAAGAGGCTGTGGACATGAGGCTTCTTTTCATTGTCCAAAGAAGGCCTCACCTATGCCCTGGGGAGCATGTGCATGGCCATGGGGGAAAGCTGGTGGTGGGGAAAGTGAAGCCAGCGTGGGGTGAGGAGGCTCTGGCCAGCGCTGGTGACAGTGCTGCTGGGGGACAGTGTGTGCAGCCGTGCCACCCTTAATGTGCTCAGTACTTCCACTCTCGGAAGCTAAGCAGGGATGGGCACAGTTAGTACTAGTCTTTATCTGTGTGTCAGAAATAGTGTGGCCAGCAGGACAAGCGACGTGATTGTGCCCCTGTAGTTGGCACTGGTGCAGCTCTACCTTGAATACCGTGGTCAGTTTTGGACCCCTCACTACAAGAAAGACATTGAGGTGCTGAAGTATGTCCAAAGAAGAGCAACGAAGCTGGCGAGGGGTCTAGAGCACAAGAGGAGGGGCTGAGGGAAATGGGTGTTTAGCCTGCAGAAAAGGAGTCTCCGGGGAGACCTTATTGTTTTCTACAACTATCTGAAAGTAGGTTCTAGCAAGGTGGGTGTCAGGCTCTTCTCCCAAGCAGCAAGTGATAGAGTGAGAGGAAATGGCCTCAGGTTGGGCCAGGGGAGATTTAGATTGGATATTAGGAAAAATTTTAACCAAAAGGTTTATCAAGCATTGGAATAGGCTGTCCAGGGAAGTGGTTAAGTCACCATCCCTGGAAGTATTTACAAGACATGTAGATGTGGCACTTAGGGACATGGTTGTAGTGGTGGACTTGGCAGTGTTATGTTTATGGTTGGACTTGATGATCTTGAGGTTCTTTTCCAACCTAAATGATTCTATAATTCTATTATCTCTTTCTGATCAGGCAGTGTGTAGCAGATAGTCGCAATAATACTGCCCATGTTGGTCTGTCTGGTAATGCTGACTGTTAATGCTCTTAACTGTCTCATTTTCTATCAAAAGCCAGAGTTCTATGAAATCCACTCTCACATAAAAGGCTATCTTCCCTCCTTGTCTTCCCAGCTCTAGATTGGCTATAAAGAGATTATGGGGGATTGTGTCACAGGCTTTGCTAAAGTCAAGGTGTACAATGTCTGTTGCCTCCTTCTTGTCCATACAGCCAGTCATCTTATCACAGAAGGTTATCAAGTCAGTCAGGCACAATTCACCCTTGGTAAATCCATTCTGGCTATGTCCAGTTATTTATCTGTCCTTCCTGTTCCTTGAATTAGCTTCCAGAAAGACTTGCTCCATAACCTTCCCAGAGAGTGAGACTGACCAGCCTGTATTTGCTCAGTTCCTCTTTCTTCTAGTTCAGCATTATGTCTATCCACCAGTCAAAGCACCAAGTTTCTTGCTTTACTGCAGAGAAATGCATCATGCAGAGATAACAAGTCAATACACTTGCCAAAGCAAGGATCTGCATTGCTCTACTGAAGGAGGGCTGAATGACTTCTGTATTCTACCTCTTCTACCTCTCTGAAATGGTCTAAGTAGCATCTGACCCATACCATTTTGAAAACTGGGCCACCCCTGCCACTGTCTTTTTTTTTGAGAAGCATCAAGGACCCTTCCTAAGCCGGTTACACTAGAGTTTAAGAGCTTCCTATTAGCCTTTCAAAAACCTTTGAAGGTTAAAGATTCTATAACATCAACACAAAAGTCTGCTATCTATTATGAAAAAAATATGCAAGACTGTTGTTGGAAACATATGCTAGGAGAAACAAAAAGCAAAACCAAAAAAAGTGCATTAGTCCTCACTTTTAAGACAATTCTACAGTGAGATGTTAACTGAAACTAAGGGTACAGAAGATTAAAGCATTAACAGAAGAAGAAACCTTTACTGTTACAGGAAAACTATAAGGCTTTTTGAAAAAGCCTGGTATTTCCGGATACAAAAATTCCACGCAAAAAGACCAATTAAAAGAAAGACCTATCAAGCTCCTCATACTGACCTACTCTAAAGTCATCAGTTACCCAGTCCTGAGCAAAAGCCTTTTCTCACCCATATTACTATTACTTTAATGAAATTGGATATTTTTCCAATCATCCAATCATCATTACATCATCTTTCCAAGGCCAAAGACTGTAAAAACACCATTCAGACAGAAGTTCTACCTTTACAAAATGATCTGGCTTTCAAAAGTTTGACAGTAATACTGGAGTTCATACTTAACTCTGCTTCTGGTCATAGCTTGCTAAAATATGAAGCTGAGATAAAAGAACTCAAAGCATTATTTTTTCCTGTGTCTCTTCTACTATACTCATTATTCCACAATAAATATTGTGTTTTAAGTCTATTGAAACAAATACATTGTATTGACTTATCTGCTTCTCCAGTGACAATTTTCAGGATGTGAATGTGCATTTCCAAGCCATGTAAAAATGGCTGTAACCAACTGCTACTCATTCCCAATAAATGGAAGATGTTTTTCCTTCCAGCACTGCAATAGTCTTTGTTTTGTATCTCATTAATGGGCACCCTCCAACCACAATATTGCTATAGCAACACCTACCATTATACCAAGGCTTTCTTTGTAAGATACTACTCCTAAATACACAGTAAAGCAGTTACATAAAGTTCTGTTAAGACCTAATTTCAGACAAGAGATTTAAACAATTCAAGATAAGCTACACTTCACTGAGGAAGCACTAGACAACTGACTATTTTCATGTAAAGAAGCTTTTCAAAATATCCACCTTCCTAAATAGTGTAAGAAGTACTTTATGATGGATAATTAATCCATTTTGACAGTATTATCAAGCCTGACAAGCCAGTAAAAAATTCCTGTAAGCATACACAATTTTATATTTTAAAAAAGTAATACCGTAGTAGAAGGACTAGAAAGAATCATACTGTTCTTTTTTCCCATCTTCCATGAATCATTAAATAAATATTTTATACAGTTTTGGCAAAACAAAATATGAAAAACTCAAAAAACAGTGTACTATTCCAATAACTTTGAGACTCCTGCAAACAATTAACCCAGTTCCTGCATCCACGCATCTGGAATTTTTGACTGCTCTCATTTCCCACAATGTTTACTTCTGATTGTTGTGCTTGAGAGGTTATTAATTGTATTTGCCAATCAAGTTATTTTTAATCTCCAGTTCTAAAAATGAAAGCATATAGAATCAAAAAATTGACTGTCATTCCAACAATAACACTACTCTTTCTGCAAATTCAAATTAAAAAAAGCTTAACAGAGCCCAGCACCAACATTTCTTCGGTTTTTCAATATTTGCCTAACTTTGCATGTTTTGAGTACGTATAGGATATAAAAAAACCCAGATGCAGACACAGTATTTGACCTGAAAAGTAAGTATCTAATTATGTCCCATTCCTAGGGGACAGTAGGTTTATACTGAAATTATGTCAGCAGTGTCTGTTGAGAGTCTACTTGCAGACAGGAAAAAAGCATCCCCAAGAGTTCGTAAAAAGCATTTTCTCCTTCCTGTAATATCAGACTGTAAATAGTCAAGATCCACACTAGAAAGAGAAGTTAAGATCTTGTAACTGGAAGTTCAAATTTGTCTCATTCAGGACAGCAGCTCTTACACGTCCTGCTGAGCTGCAGGCAGTCAGCCTCTAACAACAGATGCACCATCAGGCAACTGACTTTTTTTTTTTTCCTGTTACATACTGGATGAAAGATAACAGTTGCTCCATGAAGTGGCAGCAGCACTATAGAAACACTGTGCTGATCAAGAAACAGATTCCCCAAGTAAATGAACTAGTACAAAAGGTTTGTGGGCTTAGATGCAGCTGAATGCAGAAATGTCGTTCTTAAGAAGGCAAAGAATTCTCCCTTATTGAGATTTCAACCCCTAAGATATTTTTTTTTTTCTGAGTAAGAGAAACTTTAAGCCATCAAATTAAAAACTGCAGTAAGACAGACAACTGTGTCAAGATCCCAGAATTTCACACTCTTTTCTCTGATCTTGAAACAGATTCCATGTGAAATAGAATCCCCTTCTCGTGCCTTCTGAGTCATCAGGATACATGAAGTCCTTTACAAAAGAACCCTGTTCACGACAGCAGTTCCCCGAGGCTTTTGGGTTTTTTTTCTGGATATGTGGTAGGGAAAAGGTGGTCTGAGTTTGTTCTTGACTGATGGAAGAAGAATGCACAGTTAGAAAGACTTGCTGTCTCTGGCAACTACAAAAAATCTTAGGAAAAAGAATATACTATTTTCCTTTTCTTTAAAGATGTATTTTCTTCAATCTATGGCAACCCTTCATGTCTTTGTCCAAGAAATAAAGAAGTTCTGTAAGTTATAAGTAGACATCTTAAGAAATCTTTTAATCTGAAAATACACATGCTGTAAGACTCCGGTGTAACATCCACTTTCTGGCTCCAAACCACTTCAGCTGGTGCAACTATTTTTGGTTTTTGTCTTTTCAACTGAGTTTCTCTTTGCAGCTTGCTATACTTCTCAAGTCTAAACATTCAGTGAGAGAAGCCAGGCATTTTTTCTATACATAAAACACGTAAATATAAGTTTATGAACCATTTCTGTATATTATATGGAAAATGACCAATTCCTATATTGTGCACACAGACATTCCATCAGTTTTGAAAGGATTTGCATCTCCTCTGACAAGTGGTTGGGATCCACACACTGAAACTGTTAGAATAGTCTGGATAATACAAGCCTGCTCTAAGTCGCAGCTTCGTAGATCACTTACCAATTTACCTTATTAACCATTTCTATTCTGTGCATTCTTTCCTAAAAGTTCTAAAATGTCCATCCAGGTTATATGAATAGTTCTTTATGAAATGCTGTGATCAATAACTTAAAAGGTTGCTGGGAGTGAAGTTTCACCAATATAAAATCTCC